TTAGACTTCGACATGACCTAAGACACTACCTCCGTCTTGTCTTAATCCCTTCTAAATTCACCGAAATTTTTCCTTTTTTTTTTTTGTTTAAACTATGACATACTGGAATTATCCAGCATTATGAAGAAGATAACACTCACGTAACAGGGAATTCTAAAGTTAATTTACTAGATCTACTAGTGATTTTAGTAATATATTACTATCATTTGCTTTTAATGCAAGATTATTAATTGCATCCAATGGAAAATATTTTTTTTTTTTTAAATCAACGAACCGTTTTAGTCAATGAATACTCATGAGCACTTTTTTCTGTCTGCTGCGGCGTGCAATTGAAAAAAGTCACAACGCAAACTACCGATATGTCAATTTCCTCTAGACACACATACTATACAACTTTCTAAACATTTTATGCCAACAATTAAATTAAATCTGCCGTTCTAAGATTTCAATCTGAAATTGCAACTTTATCACGCTGCCGAGTTAGCGCTTTACGTGCTGCACACACGTATCTTTTGTGGCACAAAACGCCGCTAGAATCCACTGGAGAATGACTCCTTACTTATTTACAGCTGCTGCTGGTGCTGCTGCAGCTACCAGCGCTTTCTGCACTTTTGCCATGCAGCAACAACAATTTTCTCGTATATTCTCTATGCCAGTCTCTTACTTTTTTTTTTGTTTTACCTGCCGCTTTCCAATTTTGCCTTTCACCTTTTTCTTTTCTGCCGGCGACTGCTACCTCGACTCTACTACAACTGATGATGACAGGCTGACAGGCCGTACATGCAACAGACAGAAGCGTGGTGTTTAGTTGCACGACTGAGTGTCGATTGGTCAGGTGCAGCAATAGCAACAGCAGCGGTGCGGCATCAGGCGACAGTCAAGCCAACAGCAACAACAACAGCAAAGCTTACTCCAAACAGTCGGCAAGTTCGCCGTTATGCGTCGTATCGCACTGTTATGTTTGTTGGATGAGGAGAATGGTGAACGGCGCAAGAAACAGTTAGTGAAACAGTGGCAATCGTTGGTGGCTGCTTGGCGGCTGCTGTGTTCACTGAGTACAGGATGCGATATTCGTTGTGCCTCGCGCCCTTCATTTTTGTGCCACTTTTGTAGCACATGTCGGTTTTTTTTTTGTTTTCTGCTTTTTTGTTACTTCTTCTTCTTCTTTTATTGTTTTTTTTTTTTTTGCTTTATTTGCGGTCTCTTTTGCCATAGCATCCGCTAGTTTGTTGCTTATCTTCCTCTTGTCTTAAACTGTAGTTGGCGTCTCCTTCGTTTTTGCCTTTATCTACCTTCTTCCTTGCTTAGTTTGCAACTTCTGCCAACTTTTCAGCTGTTTGCGCTCGATTTCACAGCAGAGATACCGTAATTGCCTTTGGTAAATGTGACCTGAAAGTTCTGAAGGCAGATTATTTTGTCTGCCTTAGTGAGTAACTGCAGTTAGTAAGTTTTGTAAAGCTTTTCCATTTGATTTATGTGCAGATACTCATAAAGAAAGGAACTTATGTTGGCTACTCTTAAGAGTTAACCTAAAAAATTTTTGGGATCCCACTAAAAAGAAAAAATAACAGGGAAAAGGTGTGTATATTTTTTACCACTGTTGTACGAAATTTAAAAGAGTGGATTATAACTTCAAAAATAACCATTACATGACTAGTTTAAAAGTAACTAGTTCAAAACTAGTTTATAAAAGCCTAGTATAAAAGGAATTTTGAAAAATCTTTAGCGCTTTGTTACCGCTGAAGCGATTTTCGGCCGAGCTCCTCCTCCAGTTTGTGGTTTTGCCTCGTGATGTTTTTCCTACAAATGGAAGGGACATACAGTTTATACCAAGCTACCTCCGAACGGCTTTATGAGGAGCCCTTTGTTCATGTCAGAAATACACTCGGAGGGGTTGACATTCCCTGCTGAGATTTGACTGCAATTAAAAAATGTATCTTATATTTTATTTAATTTCATTTTTTTTTACCTTTTTGGATGTTATTACGACTCCAAGACTTGAACCCGAGCCTTCCGAATGTCAGGACGCAATGCCAAGCACTCGGCTACAGCGGCCGCTTCATATACATAAATATGTAGATACATACTTTCCTATCAATAATAAATTTCTTTAATAATTTCTTAACGCTTTGAACTCCTCTTCACCTTTTGGCGCTAACGTAGCTTCATAGCAATGAAGACTACAATTTCCATTTATTTCATATAAATATATTCTAAATTCTCCTCTGTCACCGCATTTAAAATTTAAAGCATTCTCTTGAAGTTGGCATTAAGAAAATGAGACCCTGACATCTAATCTGCAACGGTTCCTGCTGCAACCATCGCAGATGTTGCTTTTTTCGCAACATTGTGTGACATTCGGCTGGACACATTGGAGCCATTGTACGCCAACACACATTTTACCATTCGCGTGCTTTGTATTTATTTAGATTCTGAAAGCTTTTACTCGAAACAATGTATGCCTCCAGGCATTTTGCATTACAATCACATTTGTACACCCAAAATGGGGTTGCCACTCATGACCATATGCGGTGTGGCATATCTTTGAATACAAATAACATTTGCAAAACCGCTGAGGATCGAAGGCAGGCAGTCGGCCAAAAGCAAAAGCAAAAGCAAAAGCAGCAAATATGAAAGAACAACAATAGCGAATATGAAAAGGCCGCTTTATCGACAAAAAGACAACAGAAGTAAGCAGCTTCGGCATTACAATGCACGCGTTGAGTGGCATTAACGATTAGCAACGCAACAGCCGCTACAGAAACTACACCGTCAAAAGTTTGCTGGAGAACTGTGGCATAAAAGTTGCCTTTGAATTCACCGTTTCATGGGTGAAGATTCATAAATGCAAAATACAGCAACGACGATTTGCTGCATAATCGCTGGATAGTAAAACAAAGATGAAAAAGAATTTAAACTGAAATAAAATGAAATAAAATAACATAAAATTAAAGAAAATAAAATAAAATAAAATAAAATTAAAGAAAAAAAATAGAGTAAAATAAAATAAAATATATTGAACAAAAAAACGAAGATTCAAATTTATAAAGTTAAAGTAAATGAAATTAATGAAAAAATTAAATTAAAAAAATGGAAAGAAATAAAAAAGGAAATTAAAAATCAAACTGCATAAAAATAATATTTAAAAAATTTAAATAAGGCAAATAAAAAGAAATTAAGCCCAATCAATGAAATATTGTAAATACTAATAATGAAATGGAAAAATTAATAATATTACGAAAATGAATAAATTTACATCATGTTAAAAAAGGAATAGGAAAATATAAACCAAAAATAAAATGAAAAATAGAGAAACTAAATTAAACCAAAATAAATTTGATTCGCATTTTTTATATAAATAAGTTAAATTAAATTACAAAACTTAAAATTTAAAGAAAGAAATTAAAAGATCGTAAAATTAAACAAATTAAAAAAAAAATTCAACAAAAATTAAAATACAAAAAATTAAAAGTAAAAAAATAAAATTAAGGAATAATAAAATTAAAAAAATTAATAATAATAAACGAAAGATTGTAAAATAAAATAACTAAATTTAAAGTCAAAGAAATAAATTAAAACTAAACGACGTAATAAAAGAAAAACATAGAAATAAATGAAAAAATATTTAATATCATGTAACATAATACCTTGAATAAAATAAACTAAAATTAATAAAATTTTTAAAAGTAAACAGTTAATGAAACAAAATAAAAATTATATTATATTAAATAAAACTAAAGTAAATAAAAATAAATGAAAATTAATAACATAAAATAATTTAATATGGTATAAAATATATTAAAATAAAATAAAATAAAAAATTAAAACAAATAAAATGAATAAAAATAAAATTAAAAAAAAAATAAATAAAATATAATATTATATTATAAATTATATTTATTATATATAAATACATTTATTATAAAATATATATAAAATGGAATTTGGATTAAATTAAATTAAGCTAAATTAATTAAAACAAAAAAACAAGAAATAAAAAAGAATTAATTTAAATAGAAGGTTAAGCAAATGAAATAAAAATAAATGAAAATTAATTTGAATTATGTTTAATAAAATAAAAGAAAGACGAATAGGACAAAATATATAATTTTTTGTTTCAATTTAATCAAGTTAAGCAAAAAAAGTAAGGTAAAGCAAGATAAACTAGTAAGCCAAATAAACTAAAATAAAGTAAAATGAAATAAAATAAATTAAAAAAATAATAAATTAATATCGAATAAAAAAAGTATAAAATATAATCAAAAGATTAAAGAAAATAAATTACAAGAAAATGACATGAAATCAAATAAAAAAGGAAATTTAATTAAATTAATTAAAAAAAACACACTTTTTTATGTACACATATCTCCGACTTAAGAGTTTAACCTGTAATCACAATTTAAAAGTTACTTAGCTATTTTTTATGTATATTTTTCACGTTCGAAAGTTCATAATTTGCGTAAATGTGGTAAATAATTCTTCGTGCAAAACGAAAAATAAAATTAAAAATATGTTTTTATTATGTTCTCTTTCTAAATACAAAAGTAAAAATTTAAGAATGGCCAACAATTACGAAATCATGCGCGTGCCTACATATGGAAGCACACAAAAACATTTCAATTTTTTGTTTACATTAGTTTATACTTGAAATTTCAAGCAACTTAAAACCAAAACTGCGAGTGTTTTGTCCTTGAATGCTGCAGGAAATCAAGTTTTCTAAAGCGGTCACGAAAAGCACTGCATAAATTGGTTTTTGAAAGTGTATTATATTTAAGTATTTTTATTTTTTCTTCTATTCTGCCAAAATGAGTTTATTTTCAGCATTATTTCTTTAAACGTGTAAACGATTTTTTTTTTATTTTTTTTATAATAAACTATATAATTTACTAAATATTATTATTCCTATCTATTTTTCATTTATACTGCAATACATTTATTTAAATTTTCTTTCGTTTAAGTAAATTTAAATTTTATTTTCTGTTTCCTTTATTTCATTTTAGCTACATAATGTCACCGCCATTTACCTTGAGTCGAAGCGCCATAGCGAGTGCGACGCGCTCGGTATTGTTACTGTTGTTATTGAGTTGTCAGCGCGCTGCCAGTATTCTGGGAAAATCACAAATGTGCGAAGTAGAAACGGGCCAAACGAATATAATATTGGATATCGAGGAGAGTCGGGGCGATTGTAAGTTGAAAATTTATTTTTAACTTTAAAATAATAACTAGAGAGAGAAACTTTGCCAGGATATTTTAATTTCTATGGGAGTTAAGGCAAACCATTTTTTTTTTTTTTTTTTTTCAAAATTCCATCAACCAATAAAACAAACGTGATTTTTAAATAATTTAAGTGGATACTTTCTCTTCTTACGAAAGTTTTGATTAAAGTTTTGAAGGCAACGAAAACGAAAAGAGAGTATTCTCACCAACCTTATTTGCAGATTTTGCTTTCAGAATTGTTGTTTTCTTTTATAATCCCTTCTGTAAAAAAGCTAAGAAATAAAGTAACCCATTTATGAGCGCTAACTACTCTGAATAGTCAACAACTCTTGAGTGAAACTGCCTTTAGAAAAATCTGAAATTCCTCCTGATTATCTCGCTACAGGTGACTCTTTCATGGACAATTTTCCAGAGCAACCTCCTTAAATGGAGTTTGCTACTACGAAGAGATTGTAGGCACTGCTTCTAATATCAAAGCCCACAAAGCGCCGGGATGTATGTCCATCACTGCTGAAGAGCTTATTGATGAAGTCGTTAGCTTCATCAGTCATCTGTGTAACGGCTGAATAAGAACAAAGATTCACAGACTCAGCAGAAACTAGCTACGATAAGTGTGGCTCTGAAACTAGGATATACAAGGGAAAAATTAAAGTCTTAATATCCCATCAGTCTCCTCCGCATCTTGTCAAAACTTCTCCAAAAGGAATGAGAAAGTCCATATAACAAATAAGGTCAATTCGTATTGAAAATTCTACCTTTAAAAAACAGTATTCAATTGAGCAAGTCCATATGATTGAGAAACAATTCTGTCAGTATTTGAAAAAAAGAAATCTCATCAGCTGCTTTGAAAAGAAGCTTCCCACTGAACTTATATTTACTAATTTATCCACTTATTAGACAAAGGATTGTTCTTTTTACGTACGGAATATGCAGAGTGATGATTGGGAAGCGTTTGTTAAGCGTCGAATAATAATTGAAAATAATTATTCAATAGTTGAAATTTAGTAAAACTCGCGTTTTATAATTTAATTATTGAGAAAAGCAAGAATATTTTTTTTTTTTGCTGCTAAAAAGAAAATTAGAATTGTGACAAAATCGCGAAAGAGTTCATTCAATTTATTATTTGGTTTACATGACATTAATAGTAAAGGCCTTAATTATGTAGGAAAATTAAAGTTTAAGAATTTTCACTACAAGCAAAGGGCCCATCATTTCTCTACGACTTGCGAGAGTAGATAGATTCAAAACTTTGGACGGTTGGTATAGGGAGGAAGACTTTTCCAAGATTTCCAATTGAGATGCCTTAAGGCAAAAAGTAAAAATTGTTTCTGAACGGACTCCAATTTATCAGAAAGTAGGTTAACCTGATGATTGGGGTTCCATATCTGTGAACCATATTATAATATTAGCCTCACCAAAGTCGTATAAAGTGCTTGAGCTACATAATACATGCACATGCACAAAGCTTAGTTTGAAATCGATCAAACTTCCAGCTCGACGACTCGATGGTGTTTGAATGTTAACGAAGCCAAATCAACTCGTGTAATCTTCATTTTAATGAGAGATGTATTAAATTAAACAATATCCCAATCGCCCAATATTTGGAATTTCACTTGGACGGACAATTAAAAATTCGATCACCTATAAACGCCAAGGGGAAAGCCTTTAGCATCAAATATCGTTTTATATATTGGCTGTCAATCGTCAATCTGCTCTATTAATTAACAACAAGCTCGCTTTATACAAATCTGTATTGAAGCCAGCCAAATTCATTTGTCTTCTTGTATACCTTACAAAAGCATTATTGAACTTTTTTAATTATTTTTCAAGATATGTGAGATCCCTTTAATCTAAAGAAAGCATACAAAATTTGAAAAAAATAAACGTTTGTTGACTGAAATCAAAAGATCTTCGTAAATAGAACAGCAATATTCAAGGTTCAAAATATGCTTCCCTTTTTCGATAAATCAAAGCGAAAAGCTTAAGAACTTCAAATTTTTTCAGTAAAAACTTAGAAAAAAAATAATATGCTTTATTTGCCATAGTGGCCGAATGGTAAGCAGGGTTCAAATTTTGATACGACCAACATTTAAAAGTTATGGAAAAATAATTTAAGTAAAAAATGAAATGATCTTGGCAGGGAATGCCAACCCCTCCGAGAGTATTTCTGGCGTGAAAACCGTCAGTCATTCGGAGGCGGCTTAGTATGAACTGTAGAACCCTTCGTCTGTTGGAAAAATACCAAGACGCAAAACCACAAATTGGAGAAGGAGCTCGGTTGAAAATCGCTCTAGCGGGGTATATATGTGTATATATAATTGAATGTTTTGTCTACTATATGTGTAAAAATTTGTGAAAAACAAAAAAACCAAAAATCTAGTAAAAATAACATTTTTTAAACCAAAATTCTTGGGCTAAAAAATATTCACCATTGGCTACAGATATATTATTACGAGTTCAAAATATTATTATTAAAAATAGTTTATTTTTTTTTTTTTGACAATATTTCAAAAATTAAAGTTTTGCAATTACCCAACCAAATCATTAACAGCTAAAAAGCAGGATTAAAATTTCTACAACATGTTTACTAAATACATGCCTGTAACTAAGGACATACACCTTAATGTATGTATATGTGTAAGTGTATAAATATGTCTACTAAAAGCATATACGTGTACCACGATTTATCTCCAATGATTTGCAAAGTTAATTAAATTTACTAGCCACAGCTGCCAGCCAACATCAGTCATTATTATACTCGCATGGCATTTCGCGCTCAACTGTGCCTGTGATGAGCCAATTCCGCGCATAATATGATTAAATGACTACCATTTTTCTTCATCATTTCGAAGGCTGGAAGAGAATAAATACACTATATTTATGTATATATACTTATAACTACTTAAAATTGCATGTAAGCGTACAAATATTTTTATAAATGGCTTGCTTGTTTTATATCGAGATGTTGCTATTATTTTGTGTTTATTTACTTGGTTTATGAATCTTTTTTTTTTAATTTTTATTTTTTATTTTGCATTGTTCAAGTGGATAAAGGTGTATGTGTTAACTCACTTGCGTACTTCTCACAGCTAACAAGCATCATTAATCAAAATTTTATAGAAATGTAACAAAATGCAATGTGTAGGTAGATATCACTACATGCAACAACAGCCGCATGCAACAAGAACATGTTGCTGCTATTGTATATTTTTATCTCGCTTTTTTCTGCATTTCATATTCTACCAGCTCTGCTTTGGTCAAACAACACTTTTCTTAATACTAATAATAAAATACATAATATTATAGGGTATATAATTTTCATATTTAAAAGGCAAAAAAGTCAAGTATACGCCCTGGCAGGCACAACACCACAGCAAAGGGCCACAATGCAGCCACTCAAAAATTATCGCACAAAATCAACGCAACCATTTTAAATCCTTAGCCATGTGATGTAGTAAATGAACTTATCGCATATTTGTAATTTACTACCTCCAACAACAACAACAACACCAGCAGTAGGCTACTACTACTGCACTTCAATTATCCCACAATACAGCGAGTTGATAGTGAATAAGTTGCAATTGCTTAGCTTTGCCGCCTTGCCACTGCATTTGAGTGCACACTAAATGAATCAGTTTCATGGGTATTTCAACAAGTGTTGTATAAAAACAATAACAGCAACAACAAAATTGTTGTAGAAATAATAGTAAAATGAGGGGAGCGAATATATATGGCAACATAAATGTTTATACACCCTGATGATGATGATGATGATGATGCGTTGCAATATGAAAAGCGTAAAAAGAAGATGCAACAGATATGCAATTCTTTTGTGTAGAGGCTGAGTGCGGGACACGTTAAATTGCAAGTGACGCCATTTAAAGGCGTCTACCAAATGCATTTGCAAGCAAACCGCAACATATTCATAAACATATATGTGCATGTACATATGTTCGAGTTTAGTAAATATGTATATGCCATAGCAGCTTGTTTCTACAAACATTCTGCTGTGAGGAAAACTCACTCTACATATAGTGTTGCATGTTGCCAAGTGTTGTACGTTTGTATGTTATAGATTACGTGCATGCCACTGCGCGCACTATTATTAAAGTGTTATATTTGTTGCAATTGTTGTTGTTGGTGTTATAGTTGTAGTTGTTATTCAAGTCATTCTTGCTTGTTTTGCTGTGTTGTTCGATTGTGTTGCGATAGCAAAAGCAGATCAATTTACTTTTATACGCCTGCCACTTTAGTGTTGTGGCAAGTTGCAAAGCGTCGTACAAATAAAAAAAAACAACAAAAATAAACAAAAAACAATTACAAAGTTACAAATAAAACTCATTAAAGGCAAAATCTCTAGTCAAAGTATTATTTTCTTTTCTCCACTCCTCTACACCATCCCTTGTGGTTGCTGGTCTTTTCTCGCTTTACCATTATTGCTTTGTTGGCGCTGCCATATCCTGCAGCCATATTTTCAGCTGTGAATTCTTGGTGTCTACCTTGTTCTTTGTTAAGGTACAGTGTCTTTGGAAAATTATAGAAAAATAACTTTATTTTGCTGTAAATTAAAAAAAAATATTTTTTAAATTATTTGATTTCAATTGGCCCTCTAAATTATAGCAATAGAAAATTAAGTATTTCATTAGAAATAAAAGTCGTTAATAAATTTATTAAAAATTAAATAAGATTATACAAACGCCTAAAAGCATTATAATTATCTTAAAAATTCTTTGAAAAATCGACCTAAATGTAGGCAACATTTATTACTTAATTTTTCTCATCAATTCTTAGATGCTTAAAAAAATTTTGTGACTTAAAAATGCGAAACTTAGCCTACATTTAGGAACAAAGCTAAATCTTCACAATATTGCCAGGTGAAATTTAAGTGATTTCAGTAAAAAAATAAATGTTTTCTTATAAATAGGGAATTAATATCAGTAAAAATATTGGTAGTTGTAAATGTTTTTG